CCGCACGATCTGCACCGCGGAGCCAAGGAACTCGCCGTGTCGTGCCACGCCGTGTTGCGCCGCGCAAGTTTCTAGTTCTTAGTTTCGTTCTTCGCGACGAAGAACGCAGATTTCTCCCGCGGACACGGTTGAGATCCAGGCAGATCGTGTTGCAATTGTCGAAGATTTCTTCCAATCTCTTTTTCCATTTCTTGTAAAAATTTAATTCTAATTAACCTTTGTAAACAGTTCTGCGAGATATTTCGCAGTTTTAATATTTTTTATCTTTTTATTATGGAATACAGTTATATAATTGTATTCTTCAGCTAGTGATAAATTTGATTATAATTTGCATAAAAACATAAACTAGAAAGAAGATAAATAACTAAAAAAAAATAACTAGAGAGAAGATAAATTGTATAATATATCTGAAATAGACAAAAATGTAGAAAATATTGTAAATATTAAATATACATTAAATATTTTTAAGAAAATTTTTATAAATAACAGCTTTAAATCGATAATATATTTGTTTACATGATATTTCTTTTTATTATATCATTAACGTATTTTCAAATTATTGCAAGAGGAGAAAACTATGTAAATCTACTTAGTTGTTTGATTTGTACATATGCGTGATTTTTGAAACGATTAATTTTATTATTTATTGAATATCAAATGGTAAGCAAATCATTTGTTGAACAGAGTGGACTTGCGTGGTTGTTGTATCCGACTCTTCAACTCTAGTACTTTTTATTCATGAATATTAGCTTTTATAATTCAATATAATATCCTAGGTATTGTTAATTTTTTTTATTAGACTTTTTTTTACGCAATGAAAGAATAATGTCGAAATAAATATGAAAAGAATACATTTTCATTGAATAAAATTTATCATATTTTTTCATCCATTGGCAGATTTATGGACAATAACGTTTTATAATTTTATAAGACTCTTATAATATTCATACGCAAATTACAGAAACCGGGAACGGGATGGGGAGACGAGGAAGGCATGAGGCAGACATAAATTATACGCATAATAATACGCAGCGTTGCGTATCGCAACGTGAAAAAACTTCGTTATAAAGTCTCCGCAAAGCGTATAGGAACGCGTTATCGTATCTCGTTGCTTCGAGCAAGTACAGATCATGACTTTGCAATTAAACAAAAAAAGAAACAATGAGAAAAAAAAAGAAACAATGATCGTTCCGGTTGATAAAGCCCGAAGAATTTTTTTTTTTTATATGCACCTAACGCACAATTATGCCGTCTTTTAGATTTTTTTCCATTTACGCGAGCGATTAGTTGTAATTAAGTTCTTATGTCGTACACGTAATGAGATAGCCTTAAGGATAAAGCGACAGCAGCGAACACTCGTTATGGAATCAACGAGTCATGTAATTCGCGGCTTGTGTATATAATTTTGCTATTTCCACACGACGGTTTTTCTTTCCCCCTACCACTGTTCGAAGATCGCTCATTCGCGCGTGCGAATTTTCGCGGAGGAAAAGAAACCGACGGAGACAACTGTCGTGACCCCTGTAATCGCGCGTCGTGATATCGCGAGATAGATATCGCTCAGACGCCGCTGCGAGCGCGCTGTGCGACGTGCCTCTCGATTATGTGGCCGTAATGAATTATCGTGCGCATGTCTCTCTTGCGAAAGGAACGTTGTGACATACCACCGGGTAAAAGCCATAGGGGTTGCGGAATTAAATCCATACGGTCTCGCGTGCAGCGCGCTCGGGCAAACGGGAGAAAGGATTTAATCATTGTGGATATACATGATGATAGCGTACGTTCCTGTCCAACGCGATATTAACGTCAATCAAGGTGTACTCGCACGATTTTTGCGAGCATGCCTTTATTATTACACACGCACGCGCGACGGGTGGAGTGTGAGAGAGTGGGTCACTTTTTCACGTGCCTATTTATCTGAGATAATCCTCGTGATATATTTACAGGCGATATAATCGTCGAGTATTTCGTTCTATAGATTCAAATGGCAAGCGTCATAAACTTCTCGAAATCGAATAATAATCATCTAATAATCGATCTGCGCGGTAGGCTCTGACACGACCGTTTTTTATGCGTTTGTAAGAGATAAATTAATTTAGTCGTTATATACAGGGTGTTCTATAAGTCGAGGTCAGTCACTCGAGAGATGAATGGGGACCCAAAAACAAGAAAGTTGATACGAACATATGTCCGAAAATGTATTATTTTCGAATTATCGAATTTTATGTTGAAATTTGAGATTACTTTTCTTTCGAACTTTTTTTTGTCAAAAAGTATGGAATCTTGATCTCTATCAAGAAATGTTAAACGAGCTATATTTCCATGCAATGTATCCTGTGTAGTGCTAAAGTAGCCTGTAATTTTTATTTAATTTTAATCATGTTATAAAACTCATAAAGATCATTTCTTCTTTCAATTTTAAGAGAAAATTCGAAAACAAAGCGATTTAAAATTTCAACATAAAAATGACGATAATTCGAAAACAACGCATTTCCGGATTATGTTCATATCAACTTTTTTTCTTGTTTTTTTTGCTTCTCAATCACTTCCCGAGTGATTGATTTCCACTTGAAACACCCGGTATAGGCACGTGCGGTTTTATAGAGGAAAAACAGCTGTTTATTAGAGAATTAGAGATACAATCGCGACTTGTGTGAAAAAGAAACAGCTCGCAGAGTGCGAGGGAGAACGTGACATTTGCGATCGCTCGTGCTTCTGTTTCCGAGGTGACATCTCGCTTAGCATTGTACGGGAGCGCTGTTAATCTCAATCTGACAAAACATCGCGTTGCTCGGGCACAATGTGCGACTATCTCCTAAGAATAATGCGCGTCAGCTGATTCAGTTCAGGCGTATGAATGAACGGAGCGGCTTGCCAACTGTGATAGCTCTCATCAATCACGTCTCGGCGCGTCTTCGTTTGAAAAAGAAAAAAAAAGAAAAAAAAAGAAAAATCAGGAAGAGAGGAGGAAAAAAATAGATACTATCGCGCGAACTCGCTCTCATTCTCGAGGAACGTTGGCGAATCCTTGGCGAATAATCGCGAAAACTCGATCTCCACATAAGAGCGTGTTCTCCTCACGAGCACACCGCCTTCCACGAAACAATTCCGATCGGCTGCGGAGATTTTATTCAATTAATTCGCGTCGCCGAGGAGCACGCGATATCCCGAGCGCGACGAACACGTCCTAGGGGGTTTCGACTCGCAGTTGGCACACGTGCGCAGGTGGAGTGCGGTTTTTGCTGGGTAGCAGTGGTGGAGGTAGTGGTGGTGGCGATGGTGGTGGTAGTGGTAGCAGCGGTAGTTTTTTGCGCCAACCGCGAGGTCTCTAGTGGCTTTTTCCCTTCTTTTCTTTGGTACCCACCCGTGGCACGAGGGAGGGAGAATGATGGAGGGGAGGTATGAGAGGAAGAGCGCGACACCCTGTAGCCGCGTGTCGGAAGAAGAGAGCGTGACGCCGCCGCCGTCGCGAAAAAAAGGAGGGGCGGGGGGAGAAAGAGAGACGGAGAGAGAAAGAGCAATCGAGGATCGCGGTTCGCTCCTTCCAGCTGGCCTGGCACGACGAAGGAGGCCTTGTCGCGCGGCTGCTCGTTCGGTCAATGTCTTCTCTTTCCTCCTCGCTCTCTCCCTTCTCGACTCCTCTCTTTCTCTCTCTCTCTCTCTCTCTCTCACACCACTTATTATACACACATACATACATCCCCGTCTCCCTCCGTCGACTCCTCGCGCTCTTTCTCTCGCTTCCTCTCGCTCCCCGCTCTCTTTCGTTGCTTCTCCCCCCACTAGGAGCACTCCCGTGCTGCATCGCGCACACGAGACACGGGTGCCTGCGAAATCCCTCTGTCATCTTGCGAACGCCCGTCCGCGGCCAGGATTATCCCGCGCCGTGCGCGATCACGAAAAATCAGTTCGTCGCGCGCGAGCCTCGGCGTCATCGTTGTCGTTGTCGACGCCGTCACTCTCGTCGACGGCGAGGAGATCCGACACCGTCGCGGATCAGCACCAGTAAAATCCATTGTTCGGTCGGAGAATAAAAGAGAACGCGGTGCGTTCGGAAATGTGCACTCGTATCGCGGTTTGAAGGCGCATTCCGAGGGCAAGGAGGAGGCGTTCTCTCGTTCGAGCTTTTTCCGCCGGCGGCCGCGCGCAACAGCGTGAAAGTTCCACGATCGTTCGCCGCGGACTCCGGCGCTCTCTCAACTGCACGTCGTCGATGACGTTCTCGATGTCGTCGTTGCCATCGTCACCATCGTCACCGTCGTCTGCCTCGTTATCCACCTCGTTACTCTAGCCGAGCTTGTTTCTCGCGGTCAGGATTTGCTCACGGTGTTTACTGCGTGTCGTGTGTAACGCGCGCGCGTGTGAGTGTGTGTATGTGTGTGTTCCGCGGTGCGTGCGCGACAGCGCGGAATTTCAGAGCATGGCTCTCGGCGACGTTGTCGTTCCCATTGTCGTCGCCGTCGCCGTCGCACGTTAGGAGGAGCAGCGTCGCGCGGGCGCGAAGAATGAAACTCGATACCGCGGATTTGCGGACGAGACACTAGCGGCTTGCGGTCCACTCCTCGATAACGGCGACGCTTCACGTTTTTCGCGAGCGCAGGTGGGCGCAATCTCCTTGTATATCCATGGATTGATTCGAATGGCGATTTAAATCTTGTCAGATCGATGAATATGGCACTGATATTTCGGGAAGTGACGGTGTATAATGGTATAATTGATAGTACAAATTCTGGCCATTTCTTTTTTATCATTTACAATAAAAATAAAACTTTTTTGCAATATATTAAAAAAACTCCATTTTTATGACATATTTTTGCAAATGCGTTCAGATATTTTTTCGATGAAATCAAATTACAAAATACAGAATATTTGTAAAAATGTAAATATTCTATATATTTTATATATATATATATATATATATATATATATATATATATACGCATTTTTATATATATAAAAAGATCATTTTCATTCTATATATTCTTTTTCTTTGTTTTCAGAGTGCAATAAAGTTAGCTGGTAAAAATAATGTCAAGAAACTGCACACATTGCTATCAATAGTGGAGGAAAAACCAAAGGTGGATACAGGACAGAATAACAGGCACAACGAGCACCACATCAAAAACAATTTCAAGCACAACCACTACACACATAATTCCATACTGACACCCTCGACGCTAAACCAGGTAATTGAATGATCCCAATCAGATTGCATAGAAAGTCAATCCTCTAATTGTCAAAAATAATGTATGATTATAGTATCACATTTTTTTTCGCAGGGCCTAGATGCAGGTACAAGCGACGACAGTGGCAGAGCGTCTGAACAATTGCACGGCCCTGGGATACCTAGGGATTGCCAGGACGCAGACAGTTCCAGGGACCATCTCAGCGATGTAAGTTTTACATATGATAGTTATGTAACTAGAATGTGAATACGATAGCTTATAATTAATGTTGTAATAAATATTAATTCGTGATTTTTAAGTGTAGGCAAACATTCTACATTTGATCATAATATATCTTTATATTAGCATACTATTATCCTGTTACTTCCTAGTTGTATAATTTAATATATGAATTTATTTGTCATATATTAACGTTGGTTTTTTTTTGCTAAATTAATAATATAAAGTTACGAAATTACTTTGTACATTTATTCAAAAGTATATTTTTTGTAATACAGGCTAGCAGTCATTGCAGTTCGGGTAAAGGTTATATCGTAAGTATCATCTATTTTTCATTAATCTATAATTATAGTAGATTATAAATTATACATATAAATAAATATATATTAATTTATCATTTTATTTCAGTGTGATAGTGAAGGAGAAGACGATAAGGTATGCACATTTTCTTAATTTTATTATTTTAAAGAAAATTATTGATCCCTTTTAATCTCATTGTTTTTTATCATTATAGGGCTCGGATGCCGAATCTATACTCTTTGAATCTTCTACCTCACCTCCTCTCGCACGTAAATGTAAGTAATGCTTTCAAAAGTGAAAAATGTGAATATTTATGTATTGTAAAAGAATAGTTTTTGGAAAAAGTATAAAAAGTATCATCATTTCTCTATATATTATGTTTCTCATTTCTTTTTTTTTTTTCTTATTTTTAGACGAATTGCCATCTTCTTCGCCACACGTTTTGCCACCAGCAAACGGGGCAGGCGGATCTCCCCCGGATACGGGTGGACAAATTTCTAATCCAGCAACGGATGCTCCGGCACCTATACCGCCTCCTGTGCCTGCATCTGCACCAGTTCCAACAGCGCCGAGTCCTCCCAGTCCCACATTGCCCCCACACATATCCCAGCCTCCTGTAAGTAGTCTTCGCGTCATAAAAACTCATTCTTCTTCTCGTACATAAAAAGAAAGGATTAATATTCGTTATTAATGTCTGGTATTTCAGATGACTAGTCCTTTGGCAGCGAATCCACGTGCAATAGCTCCGCAACAGCGGCCAGCTTCCCCCGCTCTGCCACCACCCTCCCTATCCCAACAGCCGCACACTACGATACCTGCATTACATCCACCTAACGTGCCCCTCGTCTCGTCGAGTCATACAACTAGTCCAGCGGTAGCCAGTTTAGGTGTCACGCCAGCAGCACCATCGAACGGAGCGGCCACCACGAGTTATCCACCGCCCATCCCTATAGCCGCGTATCCACAAACACAACCGTCATATCCACCGCTCTACGCACCATATACCGCTTTAAGTCACAGTCCGTATCTTCCGCCAGCGATACCATCCCCTTCTCATTCTGCTTCGTCACGCACTGATGTGGTAAGCTATACATATCGTATTGCATATCATTGACAAATATTATTTATCTTAAGTACAAGACGTATTTATAATGAGAATAATAATTGTTTCAGAGAGGGAGTAGAGCTTCCCCTTGTACCAACATAAATAAGCAGACTATAGGAAATAACCATGCGAATCACAATAATACTCCGCTAAGCGCTGCCACCACAACATGCGTATCTACTATAACTAATACAGTTACCACGGCAAATACAATCGTTCATAGAGACATGGTGGCCTGCAGTCTATCCGGAAGAAACAATAACTCTCCCCGTGGACACAGCCCCAGTCGAGAAAGAGAGAGTTACAGGTAAAATATTTCTATCGCTATTTCGATCACAACATTGGTCGTATTTATCAGATCATTTACCTACATTGACAGTTAACAAGTTTTAATAATAATTGTTATTTTTGTTACAGCAGTAACGTGAGTAGTCTAAGTCGGGGCAGCATAACGCCTGTTAGTGTGCCAAACACCTCCTCTCCAGCCAATTCTAGTCTACCTGCATACACCAAGCCACAAAGTTGGATTAGGTAAGCAACCAAACACTTTAAATATTCCAATAAAAATCAAATAAAAAAAAACGATATAAAAAATTTTATTTTCGATAGCAACAACACAGTTTCTCAGCTATCCCCAGCGACAGCTACATCCGTTCCGAGGCCAACTCCACCACCGGTACCACTTGGCATACACACATTTCCACCACCGATGTTTGCAGCGCCTTTACCACCACCAGTGTCTAGCTCAAGTCCGCATACTTCACTGCCCTCGCTTCCTCCTCCGACGACCAATCCCAATCCGTTTTCTGCAGAATCTTTGTTCCAAACAAGTAAGCTTATAATTTGACTTTTTAATGCGTTGTACTGTAGGTAAATATGGGCAGATAATAAATGCATTAACCAAAAGAAGGGGTGACACATGTTGCAGGTCAGGCAGATCTTTTGAGGAGAGAGCTCGATAATAGATTCTTGGCGTCTCAGGACAGAAATGTTGGGGTTGGAGTGGGGAATTTGGGTCCACCGGCATATCTTCGAACGGAGATGCATCATCATCAACATCAGCATACGCATGTACATCAGCACACGACACCGTTGTTGCCACCGACTGCAGCAACAACACTTTTTCCACCTCCAATCGTAAGAAACATATCTATTATACAATGAGACAATGAAAAACATATATTTTTTATATCTGATTATGTGTGAATTTATCACAAACTCGTTTATATATGTAAACTAATATTAAATTATTATTTTTTAATAGTTTAAGGATATCCCAAAATTGGGAGGAGTCGAAACATCATTTTTTCGTGGAAACTTAAATCTTTCTGGTTATTCTGGTTTTAATACTGGCCTTCTTCATCCCGGAATTGGACCGCCTTCGACACCTTTTGTACCACCTAATCATTTGGCTCCGTTTGCGCCAAAGGTACTTGGCAATACAAGGATTAAAAATCCCTTTATGTATTATATCTATTTGAACGTTTGATTTTTTAATCCAGAAAAGTGGAAAATGGAATGCAATGCACGTGCGTATTGCGTGGGAAATATATAATCATCAACAAAAGCAACAGGCTGAAGCTAAGGCGGGAAGTGTCGTTAGTACCAAAACTGAGTTATTAAGACCACCGGGCCATCTTTATCCAGCGGGACCAGCCAGTGGTCTTGGACTTGGTGCACCATCAATGGCACCTCCGTTTCCTGCTAACATGCCATCTGCTCATCCTGCACCACCTCCACCTCATCCTGTCGGTTTTCTGTCTACAACAGCCTCACATTTAGGTAATAGAGGTAACAAAGATTTACATTTATTCTCGCACGTGAGCACGTCATGTTTTTAATATATATATATATATATATATATATTGAATTGTATTATTGTTCAGACTTTGCATTATTGTTATAATCTCTTTTTTTTTATATTACAGGAGCAGGAATATCTCCCTTTGGAAGATATCCTTCGACGTTCGGCGCGCCAAATCCCAATTTCCCAAATCTTTCGACTTTTCCGCCAAGAGAAATGCCACCTTTGGGTGGACTCAGTTCAGTGCACGATCCATGGCGAGGGTACGTCATGCAGAATATTAATTAGTTTTTGGATTCACTTTGTCTTTTTATTTTTTTTTTTTTTTGTAGTATTTTTTACTGACTTGTAATTATGAATTTCAGATTACAACGTGCTACTTCTGGATTTCCACCGACTACTGTTTCTTGGGGCCTGAAACCAGAACCTCCCGCGATAGATAGGCGCGCCGAATTGGAAGAACGAGAGCGCGAGCGTGAACGAGAGAGAGAGCGCGAACGGGAGCGTGAACGTGTCGAACGGGAACGCGAACGTATCAGACGCGAACGGGAGAGGGAGAGAGAAAGAGAAGAACAACGGGAAAGAGAAAGGCGAGAACGCGAGAAAGAAGAAAAGAGAAAACAGCAGGAAGCAGCTGAACGGGAACGAGAAAGGCGAGACAAAGAACGCCGCGAGATGGAGAGACGCGAAATGGAGCGTGAGAGACTCTTACATCAAAATCGGCAGCATGTAGTTGTTCCACGAGACCGTTCACCGCTCAGAAACGGCGCGGCGCCTTTGGATACTGGGGAAGTGCGGGTAAAGGAGGAACCACGTAGCAAGGACGACGAAGTTGTAATGCTTCCACGACCACCGGTGCCTGGCCCTGGAACAACAGGAACCGCACCAGGAGCTGGACCAAATCCACTGCCCGATCCGAGACCATATCATCATCCGCATCCGCATGCCTATCTCACAAGGCATCCGCACAGTATGCCGACTTCGCATTCCATGCCACGTAGCATGCTTCCCACTTTAAGCGCACATCCAATGCAACATTTCCCACCGCCATCGGCGCCCACCGGCCAACCGGGAGCTCCTTGGCCGAGCGATCCTTTTCGAGAGTATCGTTTCGACACGCTACAACAGTTACGGTATAATCCGTTAGTAGCGGCGTTTAGAGTTGACGAAGACGAACGGACAAAAATGTTCTATGCACCACCGCCTGTAAACGCACTCAGGAGTAAGGACCCTAGTCCAGGTCCGCTCAGCAATTTACATATGCATCATAGAGCGGGACCTGGGCCAGGAGTACCGACACGTCCTCTCGAAAACGCTCTCATGCACACAGATATTCATAAGAAAGAGGACGGATCGCAGTCCCGATGATACATCGTTCCAGCGTCCGCGAGCGAACGCACTGATGGACCGACCTTCTGAGCACCCCACTCCCAGTTAACGCTCGGAATTCGGTGCTGATATTTTGCTAATAACAGAGAAGAAGCGTTATTTAAAAAAGAAAGTGTATATAGATACTAAATATAATAAATATAATATTTATAATTATCGAGGAAAAAAGGAATACAGAAACGCGTAGAACTATGAAACAAAACGTAACGAAGATGCCTTGCTACTGATGCCGGTGTTCCACCAATATCGGCGATGAATGATGACGTTTCGTGAAATAATTATGGAGGCATCGTTGATGTATCACAAATAATAACGCTATCGTTTGTGAATTCTGCAGTTTCAGTGATTTGACTGTCTGTAGTGTGGTAACGAGCCCTAATTATTACGACGATAACTATGCGTACATTTTAAAAAGTATCGTGTGTAATATTAATAGTTATAGAACGAGGTTACGTAAAAAAAGGAGAAAAAAAACGAATCCAAGTTAGAAGAAAGAGTTAAGCGGATCTCTATTATTACTCAAAAATTATTTAATTATTTATTTATTATCGTATAAACGAACTTGAATCTCTATTATCGACATACACGCGCGTAAGATTTGCCCTAATTTAATTGATGTAATATACAGATCGAATGTAAAGTTACTTCTTCTTAGACTTTAATTTGTATATTAGAGACGGTAGAAAAAGGAGACGGTATATAAAAAGTGAAAAGTGTTCTTTGGCTTACAGCGGCACATGCTTCTTTCATTTGCATGCTGGCTAAAAGCACTCCCGTGCTTTCCTGTGATATAAAAAGAAAAATTAAATCAAGGGTAGTAAATCATCGATTCTTTTATCGCGAACCGTATTTTGCATTTGACAAGCGTGAATAAAAAAAAAACAAATCAAACTATCTTTAATAAAATTGTGGCAATTAGATTTTTCTTTTATGTTTTCGGAAAACACAGGACGCTTAATGTAACAGCAGTTTGTCCGTGCCAAAGTGCTTCAATCAAAGAGTATTTCGTACTGTGTGCATGTGCATATAACATTCAAAGTCTGTTTTTTATACAAGAAAATTATGTGACAGTTTTATCCTTCTCTTTTAACCATTCTCTTCATTCTCAGCCATATACGTCGTTGTGTTACCAGAAAGCCAATTACGAGATCTCTTGAAAGTTCTGTGCCATGGACCAGGTTCGAATATTCCTGGTGCCTCGAAAAAAAAATCATGACCTTCCTGAATAATCGGTATCATTCTCAGACTCTATTTCGTTTATACTGTAAAATCACGGTAAAATTGTATATTATATAACTACACACGCAGTTTAAAAATTGTAGATATTTTTTATCGATGCAGTTACATTGTGATGCAATGATTTTGTTCATGTAGATATCGCGAAGTATAAAAGAGGATTTTGTGTGTGAATAGGTTTTTTTCTAAAATTGATTCTTTGTAAAGGAATCTAATAATCATAGTTTCTATCAATCTCGTTGTTTTTAATATTTTTACCAGTCCTAAGATTATATATATATATATATAAAAGAAACGAGGACTGTTAAAAAGAAGATAAAAAAAGAGGTAACGTACGATGTTCTTTTATATAAAAATGGAATAGAAAAAAGGAATGCCTTTAAACACACATTTTAATAAAGGACGAAGACTTGCGTACATCGCGCACGTGAATTTGATATGGATGAAGCTGAGAATGTATAAAAGCAAATGAAACATATGTGCATGTGTATATATATATATATACACACACCTCATTTGCTAAAAACAATTCACAAAAATCTTCTAACCGATAATTTAATACAAAATATTTTTCACGTTTCCTCAGATTCTATTTACCATTGTTCTCACATAGCATTACTAAAAACATTTGTTTTATCCACTCTTTTATTTATTCACGTGTAAAAAATGATTTAAACAAATCCTATGAGCACACCAAATGATTAGAGGAGAAAGATAGCTGATTACAAAGAGATTATTAATATACTAATGTCGATTTTTTTTCTTTGTTAAAACATTTACATTAACTCAATTATATGACATACTGATTATTGGATATTTCGAATTCGATATCTTATGTACAAAGCAAAGAAAAGTCATTATCGAGAGCTGCTCGAACTGGACCTTGTGTAACGACGATGTCGATGTCGCGGGTTCCCAGGTGGACTCCGCGATCGAGTTCTTATTCTACGTCGCGGTGGTCGCGGGCTTCTACGACGATTCATAAGCGGCGAACGCCTGCGATAACGTGGCGGTGTGTTCCTACCGCCGCCACCCCATCGTGGTGGCGCGCGTCTTCCCATGCCTGGTGACATGCGCCGCATTGGTAACGGTCGAGGCTTCGGCAATAATACCGGAGCAGCTGTGATCTCTTGGCCATCTATCTGACCTGTAAACAGATTAATGCAAAACATATATTAGCGTTTAAATAAATGAGCCGCGAAGTGATATTACAGAATCACGCTTTTACCTCCGTCCATGTGTTTCATAGCGTTCTCGGCTTCATCTGCAGTTTCAAACTCGACGTATGCAAATCCCCTCCCCTGATTTGGATGAAGCTTGTCTAATGCAAAGTCGACCATCTTTATCTGACCATATGCCGAAAATATCTCTATAACATGGTCTTTGGTGACGTTCCGTGTTAGATGGCCAATATGTATTTTCGTTGGTCTAGGAATCGGCGAACGTTCTCTACGCTTTCTACGTGGAGAGGGAGATCTGTAAAGTTAGAAAGATAAAATAAATGAAAACTTGCTATCTATCTCTACACACACATACATACACACACACACACACAAAACTAATTACAAAAACAAGAAATCAATTTTATAATGAATATGATACCTAGATCGTCCCTTTTGTTTAGTTTTATCAGGGACAGCATTGTTTCCTTTCTTTCTTTCCTTTTCGCGATCTCTGTCCTTATCCCTGTCCCTATCTCTTTCCCTTTCTCTTTCTTTATCTCTTTCCTTTTCCTTATTGTCATGTTTTCGCGAGGCATCAATGCTTTTGCTGCGACTTCTTTTCCTTCCACGATCTCTAGAACTGGCTGAAGAACTGGCAGAACTACTGGATGAGCTACTGGAAGAGGAGCTTGATCTGGAACTACTGCCACTGCTAGAACTCGAAGATCCAGAGCTACTGTCCGACGAGCTGTTAAAATTTTATGTTCATCAATAAAATATAATATATAATTTTATATTGGATAGATTAACAATGAAGCGATTATCGAACAAAAAAATATAGATTTAAATTCCTGGCCTACAAGTTCTGAATATGAAAAAAATATTCTGCGATAAAAACATGCAAATAAATATAAGCAAATCAGAAGCAACTTAACAATGTAAACCAAAATGATGACTCGATCAGATCAGATTCATAACCTAAAAGGACTCAATAATATGGCGAGCATAAATTGCTATTATATTTCGTTCTATCATTTTTGTTACCTACCTGGAGCCACTGCTTGACGAGGAAGCTGCACGTTTCTTCCGTTCTTTCTCTCTGCCTCTCTCCTTTTTATTCTCCTTGTCTGTAGCTTCAGAGTCGCTCTTACCCGTGCTATCTTTTCGGCTTCGAGCCCTGAATCAAGCGGTAGAAAAAAACGGATTAAAATCTGTATTACGTGATTGTCGATCATGGGCAACAAAATAACTCACATGACTGACGATGAGAGAACTGATCACGCTCTCAAGACACCGTCGAAAGACGCTGATCGTACGCCGCAGACACACCAATAATGGCGGACTACCGGAATACAAAAGCCGATATGACTCCCGATGGTGCGGCGGAACGTCCCGCCGTAAGTAACACTCTCGCTGCGCGCAAAATGATGATAATCACGGAGAAACGTCCAGACAAGAGCTCGAATTAGCAAATCGCGTGAATCGGCAAATTATCTTATTAAAATGTTCCTGATGAACAAGGGCGAACATATGATCCACTACTGGATCATCACGCTGTTGTCCAAAATACATATTTAAAGCGGCGTCTACAATGAAAGTTTAAGGTGTAAAGGCCTATCCGAACAAACTTGCATAGCAAGTTTTCTCGGAAAAGCTATACGCTCATTGGATACCGCGCATCGTGTGAGCGTCATCGGTCTGAACCTAGCATAAGACCTTATCTATAATGAAGATCCGGGATAGCACTCATTTGACCACGTCTCGATTGACCACTAGCCACTCACAGCGCTTGAACAATGGAAAAATTCTAGGCACCGGCCCCTGTGAGTGGTTGTGATCAATCGGGACGTGGTCAAACTCTCGCGAAGAGCCATAAGACATAAAGAAATTGACCAATCACAATCGAGTTTTCTCCTAACAGTCAATTATGATGGTCCATTTTTTATCTCTCTGGTTTTCTGAGATATTGAAATTTAATTGCTGTACTTAATTTCTTATATTTAATTTCTTATATTTAATTTCTTGTTGTGAACGTACCCCTGGATGTATCATTTTAGGCTGCATTCTCCACCCGAGTGCACTCGCTGCATTGGAGTGAAAGGGTGAGATAAAGAGTGAGTTAAAGAGAAAAAGAAAGCACCCGGGTGGGAAATCTGAACATGCCTTTAGCCGTTATTTCCCCCCTGAACGCACCGCGGAAGAGGAAATAAAAACAACAGATCACTTCCTGTTTATAAGTATGTATGTACGCGATTGGATGTTAGATCCTTTAATTGTTGCAATTACTCACTTTTAAACGTAGTTTCATTCAGCAGCATTTGCAGATTTAAATAACAAACAAAACGTCTGTTATGAGAAAAAAAATTCAGTTTATTTGTTTATCTGATCGTTTCCTCATTCGATTCTGTTCAAGTTTCCTGCTTGAGAAACATGACATCCACAATGAGATTTCAAGTTCCTGTCAAAATTTCGTTGGAAAATCCTAATGATGTGTATCTTCATGATTTGCAATTTTATCAAAATGCTCCATTCGGCACGGCAACATTAGATGAGTTGCGAGAAATCAGTGAAACGCGACTTAAAGGTAATTGAATTTCACATTTTGTTTTATCTGCTATTTAACATGCTATATATTAATGCAAGAACTTTTTCTCACAATTGATTGTAATTGATATATTCTTGTACATATGTTGTAGTTCTCTCCTTAGTGGAACGTGTACATTTACAAAAATTGACAATGTCCATATCACAACGCAGAGCTATGCTTGTTAAGGAGTTACAAAAAGAAAAACTGGATGAATTTGCAAAATTGATCGACAGTCCTGGTTGCAAATCACATACAGATATAGATATACATGCAAGAAGAAGGGATCATATATCTCATTTTGTATTAAGATCTGCAGTTGCCTTTAATGCACTTAAGAAACGCTGGTTTTTCAAACAAGAAGCAAGATTATTCAAATGGAGATTCTCATCATTGGATAGTAAGGGAATCAAGCAGTTTATGAGCATTAATAATCTCAATTTTACACTGGTCAGTTGTTCGTTGCTTATTGCAACATTAAAACTGATATTCCAGAAATTTTGGGTCAGCAATATCCTCCTGCTTCCAGATAAGCGAAAGTGAAAAAGAAGATATCAGAGAATATCTTCAAATGTCTTCTCCATATGTTAGTGATATTGACAATATACAATTTTATAGAGTATCTTTTGTTCATACAACCAATTTGATTAAAAAACGTAAGGTTTTCATTAAGGAAGGTGATGCTTTTGTACCTGAAGAAGAAATGGCATTTGTATTTGTGTCATATTTTAAGAGAATTCTTGTATCAAGTTTTGAAGTAGGAAAAAAATCATCATTATGAATTTATTAATAATTGCTATTTTTCCTATATTTGTTATTGTGCATTTTAGAATGCACGAGAAGCTAGAGCTAATTTGTATGATGATGAGAGGCTCACTCAGATTTTTGCCTATTTAGAAAATAATATTCATACTGAAAGTACTGTGCTAGTACAGGATCTAGAGATACAACAATACGTTTCGTTGGACAACTTGGATAAGGTGAATACATATTATTTAATTTTTCTGAATAATTGCTTACTAGTAATGTTTGGAATTTTGGCATAACAATATTTTATGATAATCAAGCTTTTTAAACTTTGCTTTTTAATAAATAGTAATCACTCTGTTATAGCTTGCAGAAACCTCATATCCTCTTTGTATGAGAGTGCTTCATAAAGCACTGAGAAAGAATCATCATCTTACTCATGGTGGCAGAATACAATACTGTTTGTTTCTGAAAGGCATAGGACTTTCTTTGTCTGATGCGATAATTTTTTGGAAAAACGAATTTATAAAAGTAATGGACGAGATTAGATTTAACAAAGAACACAGCTATAACATAAGATTTATCTTTGGCTTGGAAGGTAGTCGACGAGATTATCAACCTTACACGTGCCTAAGAATTATGGAATCGATTGTTGGACCGAGAGATTATCACGGATGCCCTTTCAAACATATGCTGCATGATATACTTGAAGATGAACTTATGGATTGCGGTTTTGATGCATTAGGTAAATATTAAAATATTAATTTATATATTATCACTATATGAATTCTTTTATTTGTTAACCGATTTATGATATATCAGAGAGATCAGCGATAATGAACTTGTCGAAAGACGGTCAATATTCTGCAGCATGTAACAAATATTATGAGATAAAACATAACTGTTTGAATGATACCTTGTTCAAGCATCCGAATATATATTTCAACAACAGTGTCAAACATTGTACTTCATATCATGGTGAGATTTATTTCATATGTATATATATTTACTATTTTATATAAAATTTAACGTTGCATTAAAATTAAATATGTGGATCCAGAAATAGGAGATACATGATAATGTATATGTTGTTATACGAAATGAGACCATCTGGAGAAGCTAGAACTATTAGGACCGTTACGAATTATATTTCATATCAACACAGTGTATAATGTTTTTTATACAAACGTTCTTTATCCCTGATTATAAATATATATAAACATTAATTAATTAATTTTTTAAAAACTAAAATATTAAACAATTTCAAGATGGCATTCCTTAAAGATAGATTTGATTTTGAATTATTAAAATCTTCTTTATCTTAGTTACCGATAAGCGTTCTTTAATGTTAAAAAAAAAATTATTTCCAATTGCAATTAATTATAGTTGCTTTAATCTAATAAATATTTAAATATCATATAAGTAGATTTATTAAGTATAACATGAGATATTACAGAAAATGTACTGAATGTATTTTCATGCAATATTTTTCTTTACCTGAGATGTATTTTAGTATTTGAATAAATATTTTTTTACAATCGGATTATTTTTAAAAGTGCAATTAATCCAATCATAATATGATTTTTTTTCAATAAAATAACAGGCTTAACACAAACACAAAACATCACATCAAAAAATATTGCCACGATACAACACAGTATTATTTACTATGTTTCATGATTTTTATTCTGTAAATTGCTGCGGCGATACGTAAGTACCGAATGATATATGTATGTACATTTAAGTGATAGAAGTAACGAGCAATATTTATGTACAAATACACCGAATTATAAACACTTAACACTCGCCATACCTTACACATTATTACCTTAGTCAATTCGTAACGTTGTACCGTTGTCTCAGTAAATGCTATTTTAAGCAAGACTACATGATTGGAAAGTACGGAGGAATTTTGGCACAATTTTCATTATTTCAATACGGAAACAAAACGAGTCTGCAAAACGAATCCTAAATGTAGCTTATCAAGAGATAAGGAAGAAATGCTTAAAATCGTTATAATATCATAGTCAAGCAATCGTTATGCCAAATGCAGTTTTTGTTTCAATCTAAAAAATATTCGATGTCTGACGTCAAAATGATATGTGTCGAGTAACACTCAATTTCTGCGCAATCCGTCGTGGATTGAGTGCGTACGCAAAATTCAATAAATTACCGCGTTGCAGCAATGTAATTTATAGCCGATAATTGTTGGCCTTCCTATACATATACACGATAGAGAAACCATCATGCAATTTCAAAAGCGGGATATATCACAAATTTAACAGCAGCGATAAATGCAGCAGTGGATTTATGCAATGCGTATATTACAATTCTCTCTTTTTCTTTTGTTAATAAAATCAAAATAGTTTTTATTTTACGTTCGCGCATCTGAACAGCTACTCCTGTATACATTTGAGAAAACTAGAACTGTATTTTCCACTCTCTCGAAAATGCATTCTTCTCATTCATTCTTCACATTTGTACACTCATACTTTTTTCCTCTCTTTTTCACATATTCTCCTCTGCGAATCCTTTACATAGAAATAAAACATGTTAGTGGGCACATCGATAAAATCATCATTCATAACAAACAAGTCAAATTATAAAGTCTTATATTTTTTTTTATCATTTACGTATAAATATTGTTAAATATGTATATTAAAAATTTGCTACATATTCCACGATTATTTTACACAGATGTTATTCTACCCCGATAATGACTTAAGTGGGTTAAGTAACTCCTTTTTTTTCATTTTCAATGGACACGGACTCCTCCGGTATCTGAAGAGCTAGGATTTAACAAAGGATCCTTAGTACTCCTCTTATTTATCAAATCATGTATTTCTTATCGGCAATGGAGATATGAACGAGAAAAAAGAGAAAAGAAGGGATGACATTGGATTATCGCATTCTACAGGAGGATGAGTCACGGTGTCATTGTATAAAAATCTAAACTGACCTTAAACATGTACTAAAAAATATAATTGTTTCTGTCAAGCGAGAGGACCGATTATCGGTGATGGTTCAATAAAGGTCAACCTCTGTGCGCTCGGGATATACTTTCGTTGACGCCTCCGTGACTCGTTAATTCGGATCGTCAGTCGGGCCGAACGCTTTTATTCTCGACGTAACGAATATATTTCGCTGTTATGCACATGGAATCTATTTCTTATTAACAATAATTAAACCAATGATATTACTAATACAACAGGATTACAACCGTTGTACGAGAACGACGCTTGTGTGTGTCGTTGGTGCGCCTTGCGTAAAATGCAAGACTACTGTCGTAAGATTCCAATGCCGAGAGAAGAATAAAAGAAAAAAGAAGAATTACGTCGCGTACTTACTGTTTCATGCGAATTCACAACGAATTATATATGTTGACGGACCGACTTCCTCGCCGAGAATGAATGCTATATACTGTTCATCGTGATATGATTCGCGCACACGTGCGCGCGCACACACATCACTCATGGTAATTTATCAGATATGCACATCGCATATATCCTGATCGCTACGGCAAGTCCGATGCTCGTGTTTCAAGTATAACGGCAATCCCACCGGCGATAAACGAAACTGAAAAACCAGCCGCGGTTTGCGTTTACTGCCCACGTGCAACATTAAATTGTGTGTAAGTGCATCGATCGCGGAAGAATTCAGACGGATATCTCGTAAACGGCATACATCCTTTCCTCGTTGGAGCGTAAGACGTGCAAACTATTTGGCGGCTCTCGTAAAATCTCCGTCCAGCCGCAGGATGGTGCGGAGACCGGAAAGGTGGGCTATACGGATATCTCATAGTTCATATCGTATACACTTGCCCGGTCTGGTGTCGGTGTAGTCGGTCTCTGTGACCTCGGATCGTTGGGCGCTGAAACCATTTCCATGGAATCAGTCATCTCCAGGGCTCTTACAAAGGACATTGGTCGACGCCGTGCATCTCCCGAGGTCGGTGTGGTGGGTGTCGCCATCGTAGTCACTTTCCGCTTGACCTGTGGCGACTGGTGCGGCTGATGCGGCGGGAAGACTGGCACTCCACCCCTCATGGCTGGATGGTATGCTGCCCTAGGAGCGTTCGTCGCGTATTGCGACTGCTGGGTCGGGCTTGTGGGATTAGAGCGATAGTAATCATACGGCGGGGGTGGTCGATGGGAGGGCGACTGATGCGGCGCGCCGCTCACCGCTCCTCCAGGTGGACCTGGATAGCTGCCGGGTGAGTTGTCTTTCCACATGTAAACACCGCGTTGCGGCGAACCTGCCAGCTCGCGTATGTTATCGACCGTATTGTTGGTTCTCGAATACGGATGATCGGTGCCCTGTCGCACAAGCTCGCTCTCCGACAGGAAACGCCGCTGCGGACTGTAGCCAGTAACAACGGAACCGGCAACTCCCGTATTATTTCCCTGCTGTACATCGTAATATGTCGGCGCTTCGTTCACGCCTATGAAATCCGGCCGACGAACCTGCGTCGGTGTACCCGGGTTTGATCTGTAACAGGCACAGCGATTCTTAGATCCTAAGGTCTTTCGCGGCGCAAGATGCTTTTAATAATCGACAAATGCACAGTACAGTGAACCAAGATGAATATGCGAGTGCTTGAGCATTGTAGCCATACAAATACGGCTCTGGCGAGACATACAGGAGAGAGAGCAGCGCATCATTCCTGTTAAGAAATTAGCCATCTATTCAAGAAACATAAAAGATAGCGAACCTAAGAAATATATGTGTGTAAGAGCGTTTCGTGTAATATGTATATGTTGTGTATAGTATGTGTTGCTGTATAAATATATCTTTATAACCATGTTTTTCTATGTATACAGAGATATATATGCAAGAAAGCATAATTGTAAACTACGGTATGTCCTCGTAGGATGAAGTTCGTGTTTACCTGCAGTAGGTTGCAACATGATGGTAGAAAGCAGCTCCTTGCAGTTACCACCCCCTGCAGTGGGACACAAACTTATCTATATACCATATATCTTGTATGTACATGCAGAGAGACTAATCCTCTACAATATTTATCGTAAGCTACATTGCGCAATTTTCCTTTCTGACACGTTCCTTCGTTCTCCGGAAAGTGAAAACAGTGATGACAGAAGAGGAGGAGAAAGAAGAGCAAGAGTGAGGTGTTTAACAGTGAGGGACAGGAGATCTTGACAAAACAGGCCGACATCATATCGAAGGGTAGCAAAAAGGAATATCGTTCACTTTGTATTGGCAGCGTGCTCAAGAGATGCAATGTAACTATTACTAGTGTGGCGCGCGCTTCCCTCTTGCTCTCTACATCCAGATCATTTTGTGCAATGTGAAAATTGCGCGCGCGCGCGCGATATATGTATATATTATAATTAATAAGAATAATATACATATAATAAAAATATAATAAATATGAAACTTATATATAAGTATTTGAATATTTTTAATAAGAGTTAATCAAATATAAGCACTCAATCGATTAATCCTCTTCATTATCTTTGTATCACGTGTAAATGTGTTTTCTTTTTTATATTATTAAAAGATATTTTTCAGATATATCGGATTAATATATATTTCAATTTTTCTCTCGCTAATATACAAGTATGATGTACCTTCGTATAGGGCTGGATATGGCAAGCGGAGTAGGTACTCCAATAGCTTTGATACGTTGTTGCATCGTCGGACTGGCGCCACCTTGACGTTGAGGGACCGTGGCGGGAGAACCACTTGTCTCTGGTGATAACGGATCGGGTGTATGACTTCGAGATCCGTTCATCCCTCTACAAATACAACATGACCAATATCATATGAGAACATTTCGTGCTATCATGAGTCACAAATGTCAATTGGGTCAGTGACCATTCGTTTACATACAATTGGTTCCAAATATCCCGAGACAGTTGTTAGTTCCGACTTAAAAAGATTGTTGACAAATATCAATTCCAAAGATTGGGGAAAGAAGGAGAATATTACATAATAATCACAAAAGAATTAAAGTTTCAATTATTTACAGCCTATTATGTTATCTGTTCATCTAATAAATGTTATGTTAAAAAATCAAGTGTAGAAATTTAATAAATTTTATTAAAAAGAAATAACCACTTTTCCTCATGGCAATTTTAACAGATCGATAAATTACTTATATCCACATCCCAGTCGCAAGATACAATAGTGATGTCGAGGATTATCGCTATATTTAATAAATACCTTGGCCTTGGATGTGGACTGCCTCTAGGATAATGTATTGGATGGCGATGCTGCGACGGCGGAGGATGCCTGGGAGACTCGTTGTTCTCCACAGGTGGCAGGAAGAAATTGCTTTTGGAACCGTGTCTTTGCAATGGTGGTGTGGGTTCGCAATCTGCAGACTGAGACGCTGTTGGTTCCATATCTGTATCGGATCCGTCTCGTCCGGGAGATAACTGCAAAGAGAAATCAATGATATTAATAATCACATCAAAAAAAGACATTTTAAATATCATGTGATATACATTACATATATTTCCTATGGACACATTAGGATTTGTTTGGATGTGAACGGAATATACATAGACCATAAGAAAGGAAATATCAGTAAAGGCACTTTAGGACTCTAGATTCAATGGTATTGATAGATGAAGTGTCGTCGCTGCAACTCATATTCTATAGATATAGTGAAAAAATATCAATATATAATAATTTTTATAATAAAACACCAAAATATATAAATACAACAAAGCTAATACTAAGGAACTGCATACAAAATTGTTTACAATTACATTTATTCTATGGTGCAACGCTATATTACTAGCCATGCTATGCATGCTTGAAAATTGTATACAAGCAGAGGAGTGCTCAAGATGTAGACGTCGTTAAAAGATTAGACTTCGTTAAAATTCGTCTGTAAATGTATTAAGGAATAATATACAAAAATCATAATAAGTACAAGCTTAAATCCAAGCATCAGAATTGGAAGTAAAATCTTGTTCGCAAAGTAAGCGAGACTGCACTAGCTCTTACCTTATTGTAAGCATTTGAACTGGCATTTCTAACACCATTGCTGCTATCCATGTAGGTCTTTACCTGGTTCTCACTGCCTATAGTAGATATCTCTGATGCACACGCTCCACGTCGCTTCCCTGAATACTTATCAGGTTTAAGTAAACTGCAAATAATAAAGAAAGTTCATCATAATAAAGTAATTCCCATGTACGGAATTTAATTTTACAATACCTTGGCTCCTTGCAATACCTTGGGTATTGTGGTCCAAATTGTGTGTAACAGCAATTGCGCAGACAACCACGAGAAAAGGGATTGTAGCCTCCGTTAAATTTGCCTGTTACCTGTTCGTTCGTGGTACGTCCTCTGGAAACGAGGACTACGTGAAAGCCGGTCAGTCCAATAATTGGAATGAATAAGAGCATTACCACTCCCATAAGCACGAGTCTGTATTAAGAGATTAAGGATCTCATAAAATTAAAATTAGATATGCATACTCCTTATTGTACTTGATTTAGATACAGGAGAATTATTTTCTGTGTAAAGGATACGCAATGATAGTGTTCACTTCACTCAGCTGCTCTTTATGCTGCAGCAAGTAATATAGACAGAGCCCAAATATACTCATCATATGAAAACTGAGCGATAGAAGAAAAAAGAAGAAGTATCTGTAGTTCCTCCTACCAATGCAGTTGTTCACCCATGGGCAGTGATGGTCAAACGTCTAAAAAAAATATAAAACTCATTAAATAATTTCTTTTTGTATCTGTTACAAATGTCAGCAAAAAAACATACCTCGATACAATGATTGCAGACGCTGCAATGTGAGCAACGTGGAGGTCGATAAAATTTACAGGTGACGCACCACTTCATGCGTACAGTAATGCCGTTGATCTCCACGCTCTTGTACAATGGAGCACGGAAGTCATCCTCCCGATCTTCATCAGGAGGCGCTTTAATTATGAAAAAAAACCATGTTGCTCCACTGTGTCTATTGTGCACATTGCGTAAAAATAGCTCAGATTATATTTCTTTTTGAAAACGTACCTTTTGGTATAACACCGGGATCCATAAAGGTCGCCAGTGAAAAGTTGATCACCACGAAGAAGGTGATGACTCCTTGGAGAGCCGGTACCCACAGACCCCATCGAGAGACAAAGTAGTTCGACCTGCGTGAACACGTGCAAACGTGAGAGAACGTGGAGCAGATCTGACGTCAAGGAGCAAAAATGGGGATTTACGGAGCATTCGCTCGCCACGAGACCGACATGCTCGCTCGCTCGCTCGCATGGGGCGACAAGGGGAAGGAGATGAGACAACTCACGGGAAGATGAAGAAGAGCGCCGTGGTGCCAAGTAGGATCGTCCACGCGAATGTAGCTGGCAGATACCTCGTCTTCACATCGCATTTCGGCATTCTGCACGCTCCGCTCTTCCGGTGGCACAGCGATCAGCGCGAGTCACTAATGGACAGGATTTCTGCTAGCAGGAAACATGGCCGCGTCCATCGCGAGCTCGGCTCACTTGCAACACGTATGTACCGCGACGAGGGCGACCGCGCATTTTCTAGTCGCCGTCCAGGGCGTCCGCGCGAGATCGGGCCCGGTCCCGAGTCACTCGCGCGTCATCCCGGCGCGAGGAGGCAACGTCACAGCGGCGCTCTATCAATATTTCAACAGTCCAGCTCGCGTACACGGGTATCCGAGCGACGAGCACACCAGCACCTCCGTGACATACATATATAGCGTGCAACGCATCTCTCGCTCTCTCGCTGAATCTCGCGCGGCAGCGCGCGTGTCAATTCCCCCTCCCCTGCCCCTCGCCCCTGCTTCCAGCGCTCCTCAATGGTCAACCTCCCACCTATTCTTGCGTCAAGCGCTTTCCTATACTGCGAATATTCCACCAGAATGGACTGTCGGTAACTTCAGATCGTACTCGCTCATAGTCGGGTATCTTTTACAATTGCAATTTCAGGATTTTTTTTCTTCTCTCTATACAGAGCAAATAATTTGGAAGAGAAACGAATGCATCGTCGCGAATTGGCTTTATCTCAATTATGGATTTTAAGAGAAAAACGCATGTCAATGCTGTTGTCAAATAGATTCTATCAGTCGAGTATCGATGAGAATACTCGAACTGTTGATGAGTTTCTCAGCTGATTTTAGTCTTCATTTTATCTATCTTTTTCTAACTCTTAGAACTAAAGATAGATAAAGAATAAGATTTAAACCAAGATTAAAATTGATCTACATTGGTAGAAATAAACATTAGACAATTTTCGATTATAGATTTCGCATGATTTAAAACGAGAAAAAAAAGGATTATTTTTCGAAATAGCGCGCGAAAAAGTGCAGAATGAAGTTCCGGAAACGTTCGCGTGACTTGCGATTGGTCGTGGTGCACGTGAGATAGTTTTGTTCGTCATTTCCTTTTCGCGGGTAAATCATATGGCGAACATGATTTTTAACCGTGCCGGTTATGAGCTTGAGCGAAAAGTTGGTCTTCAGCCATCGAGTGAGTGGGACGTCTTTTGTCCTCACGTGAATTTTTGTGTTGCGTCATGCAATTTATTGGGAATAAAGAGAAGGCTAAACGTGGATAAAGAGAAAGTTGAACTAGAATATCACAGAATACAGAGAAACTTATAAAGGATTTAGATAAACCTGTGTTATATAACCCTAGGGTTGAAGACACATAGTCGGAATTAATCCGACATCCTCCAACCGGAGGAAAAGGAGAAAAAAAAAAAGAGCTTGAGCGAAAGTCATTCGCACTGAAGTGATTACGACGCTTTGAAAACATTCGAGAGGACAACATGCATGTAGTCAAACGAGGTAAATCAATACTAATTTCAGCGAATACATTTGCACCGCAATTTAACGGGTTTTCACGCGAAACTCATCGATCTTACTTTTTTCTAATGTCAATGCTTTTTGTCTGTTGCTAGATGGACGCAAGGAGCCTATGCATTTCGACAAGATAACTGCGAGAATCGAGACACTATGTTATGGATTGGATATGAATTATGTGGATCCAGTAAGTGCTTCCCCATAATATCTCTTTGTAACTAGTGAAACAGGAAATTTATATCTTATAATCACTTGTTCATTTATTGTTTATATTCATTTGTTTTTTAAAAATTGTTTTAAAAAATTTTTTAAAGTTAAATCTCTTGTAACTTACACAAAAGTGTGAATTTAAGAGAAATTTGAGAGAATGCTTTTCATTTACAGTCTGCGATTGCACATCCAGTTATTAACAGCTTGTGTTCTGGGGTGACAACTATTGAACTGGACAACTTGGCAGCTCAGACTGCGGTGACTATGATCAATCAACATCCAGATTATGCAATCTTAGCAGCTAGAATTGCCATATCCAATTTGCATAAGGAAACGAAAAAGGTTTTTAGTGGTGAGATGTTGCAAATGTTGATATTTTATTATTGATATGCCAAAACAACATATCAAGGTCAAGATCATTGGATAATTGATTTCTTTCATCAGTATATTTATTATATTTTATTAATATTTCTTTGTCTTACAGAAGTGATAGCTGACTTGTATTATGCAAAAAACCCAGTCACAAATAAACGTTTATTTATAATCTGTGAAAAGTATTATGAAATCATTCAAAGAAATGCAGACAAACTAAATTCTGCAATAATATATGATAGAGACTTTAATTATAGTTATGCTACATTTAAAATGCTCGAGAGTGATTATTTGTTAAGACTGAGTGGAAAAGTTGTTGAGAGACCACAGCACATGTTGATGCGAGTAGCTGTAGGTATTCATGGTGAAGACATTGATAAAGCTATCGAGACGTATAATTTTATGTCAAAACAATATTTTATACATTCTGCACAAACAATAGCTACTGCATGCACTACTGTGCGACAAATGGCTAGGTAGTTATGTTTACTCTTGAACATTTCATTAATATTGTAATATTATTAAATAAATGATAATTTTTTTATAGCTCATTTTTATTGACAATGTCCGATGATAGCATTGATGGAATATTGGATACATTAGAAAGATTTGCTGTACTTTGTCATCATAATGGAGAAATAGGATTCAATGTACATTGCATTCGGGCAAAGAATACACCTATAAGAGGTACAGGAGGTGTATCAAATGGATTGGTACCTATGTTAAAGGCATATAATACGTCTATTGCAACTGTTTCCAAAAATGGCAAGAATGAAGGACCAATTACTGTGTATCTAGAACCATGGCATGCTGATATCTTTGAATTTTTGGATCTCAAAAGGAGTATTGGTTATTATCTTTTGCTATTATTTTCTATTTGTATTTGCCTTTTAGTAAACAAATTTATTTTTGATATAACTTTTATATACAGGTGAAGAGCAATTGAGAGCTAAGGGTATGTGTTATGCATTATGGATTCCAGATTTATTCATGAAACGTGTTTTTGATGATGATATATGGAGTTTAATGTGTCCACATGAATGCCCCGGTTTAATTGAAGCTTGGGGCAATGAATTTGAAGATTTATATACTAGGTAATCAATTATATATTTTTAATTTTATTTAAAACTTTGAGGTTTATATAATTTACAAAAAACACATACTTCTATTTAGGTATGAGAAAGAAGATCGTTCTCGAAGACAAGTTAAAGCTAGAGACTTATGGTTTCTCATCACACAGATACAATTCGAAACAGGAGTACCATACATTGTTTATAAAGATCATTGTAATCGCAAATCAAATCATCAGAATTTAGGCACGATTAAATGCAGCAGTTTTTCCACTGAAATTGTTCAGTATTCAAATTCCAATGAAGTTGCCCTGTGTAATACAGCTTCAATTGCTGTCAATATGTTTGTCAATTCTATCAAGAGAACTTTCGATTTCTATAAACTTAAAGAAGTGACAAAAATTCTTACTTACAATTTGGATAAAATGATCGATGTTAATTTTTATCCTCTCCCAGAGGCAAAAGTGTCGGTTAATAAACATAGATCTATTGGTAAGCTATATGCGTGAATTTGTATGCATTGTTTTTTTAAATCTATTTTTAAAATCTATTTTTAAAATATTAGGAATTGGAATACAAGGATTAGCAGATGCATTTATTTTAATGAGATATCCATTTGAAAGTAAAGAAGCTAATGAATTAAATATTCAAATTTTTGAGACTCTTTATTATGGTGCTCTAGAAGCTAGTTGCGAAATAGCTGCTGAAAAAGGTCCTTATAAGTCATATGAAAATAGTCCGATCAGTAAGGGTGTAAGTATCAGAGAAAAAAATATTTTTCTATGAAGTGTTAATCAGAAATTATGTATTTACATGCAAATATTTTTCACAGATTCTGCAATACGACATGTGGAAAATAAGACCAACAAATTTATGGGATTGGGATATTTTAAAGGCAAAGATTGCCAAACATGGAATGCGCAATTCTTTGTTAATAGCGCAAATGTCGGATGAGTTTATGGCGCAAATGTTAGAAAATAACGTATCGGTTGAACCATATGCGAGTAACATATGTATGATACATGCATTGTCAAAACAATATCCGGTTGTTAAATCACGTTTGTTACGAGATTTAATTGAGAAAGATCTTTGGGATGAAAACATGTATAATAAAATTATTACTAATGACGGGTCCATACAAGTAAATATTTATTATTTAACTATTTTATGAAGCAATTTTATATGTTATAAATGAAAGATTATAGAAGATGATGTATATTTTATAAATAAATTATTTACAGGACATTGAAGAGATACCTAAAGATTTGAAGCTGCTTTATAAAACGGTTTGGGAGATGCCACAAAAAATTATTTTTGATATGGCAGCTTCTCGTGGACCTTTTATCGACCAGTCGCAATGTTTAAATGTCCACGTAATTGACCCATTAGAAAAGCTATCATCTATACACTTTTATGCCTGGGAAATTGTAAGTATAAAATTACACAATTATTTTTTCAAATAATATATATATATATATATATATATATATATATATATATATGAACTTATAAATTTTTTATTTTTTTTATTTTTTGCAGGGCTTAAAAATCCAGTATGTATCATCTCATAACTAACAGCAATAATGTAAAATAGAATAAACTATGATAATTAAAAAGTTAATAATAAGTTCAAATAAATTACATAAGATGCATATATATCCAAAGATGAAATGAAAATTTATATCATCAAAATAAAAATAAAGATTTTTTGTAATAATATTACAATATTACAAATTGTATTTTTTAAATAAATAATATAGATAATGCTTTTTTTATTTAAAGAAAAAGTATATTTGCACATAAAAAAATAATAGATTTTTTAAATTTGTAGTGCATTACTGTGAGGAGATAAAAGTGTGTTTAATTTCTTCAATTTTAATTATAAAAATATTTAGAGATTACATTGAAATATGTAACATCTTTGTATTTTTTTATCCTTATCGCTTTTTTCAAATGTTTATTTTATTCTTTAAGTGCAGTTGAGAAGTAGATCTGATTTTCTAGAGATTCTTTAAAATCCTTGGGCGTTTTCAGATTTTTCTCATAAAATAATATTAGAAAATGTATCAAGATATTAGTTAATACATACAATGCACTGTTTACTATGCCACGCTCGTTTGCAACGTTATAATATTATATAATGATTTATATATCTCTGAAGAAAATCTATGAACATAAATTAATGGATAATAATAAAATAAAAATATATAAAAAGAATTTATATTACATAATAAGTTCAAATTTTAAAAAAAGCTTATTATTATATTAAGACGTTAAAATATTTTATTCTTTTATAATTGCTATATTCAAATATATTACATTTTTCTATGATTTTAATCTGCTTATGTTTGCTTATAAAAATATTTTGTTTGTTTATAAAATAATAGATTTGTTATATTTGATAAATATTTCTTTTAATAACAAACTATTGCTATTACAAAAATTATAATGCATGTATAGTATGTAATTATACTATATATGTGTGCATATAATGATTACCACTTAATTTTATATATTTATTTGTAATATTTCAATTTATTAATCAGAAATTAATATTTATACATTTTCAAAATATATATGTAATATTTCCTATAGATACAAATTTTTTTTATTATATCTTTTATAAAATTTTGGGTATTGTTTTAAATATTGTAACATAACATTATTAGTTATATAATTTCAGCAATAAGTCTTTATGATATATAATGAATATTATACTAACGTGGAACAGCATTATTTTTAGTTTACATTATTTTTTAGTTTAGTATAATAAGGAACCGATTTATCAATATGTTCTGCTGCAAAAGTGTTTTAAAATTGAAACAAATTGTTGCATATTTTAATATATTTTACAAATATAAAGAAATATTTATCTACAATAAATAATATTTATTTTTAATAAAGAGACAAAAAAATATGTATGCTGATGTATGCCGCTACCAGAAATATCCACCAATGAAAATGTGTTCTTTGCAAAAGACCGCGATTGAATTTCCCTAACATTTTAGGAATCAGAATTTGTAACTATGCTCCCTCCATATTTTTTTATCTCCATGGTTCGAAGCATGCAGTTCATGGAAATAATTTAGGTCTTCGTATTCAATTTTTTCTTTCAAAATGAAGACTTCACGAACTAAAAAGGCTCGGAAGATTCTTGGATTTTATGTGAACAACTATAAGTTTCGTCAACCATTTCAAGTTCTTATTGATGGCACATTTGCATTTACGGCATTAAAGGTTATAAACATTGTTTCGATTTATATTATTGGATTTCAGTGTCCAATTCACATTTATTTGTCACATATTCATATGTTACGTTGTATTATTTTTTAGAACAAGTTTAATATACAGGAGCAGTTGGCAAAATATTTTCAATCTGAAGTAAAACTACTGACAACGGCGTGTATCATTTTGGAAACCGAAAAACTCGGTATATTTTCTTCAGCAGTTAATGGCGCAACTCAAATAGTGAAACAGTACGCTATACATAGATGTGGACATGAAAAGAAACCGATAAACGGTTCGAAATGCTTACAATCTATGATAGAAAAAAATAATAGTTCAAGGTATGTTATAAATAAATAGAACCAAGATTACATATGGATTTTTCATTCAAATGGCCCTGACAATTCAAAAGTTGTTTTAATTCTGGCTGTGTTTTGATACTTAGTGTCAATATTGAAAATATATAATTTGTCATATATATATATATATATATATATATATATAATAAATTATTTATATATTATTTATTTAGTATTACACACACACACACACACACACACACACACACACACACACACACACACACACACACACACACACACTAGATTTTCAATAATGAATATCAAAATAGCCTTTACATGAATCATAACTCATTCAGCAACCATCAAGTGAAAAATCTGAATATATTCTAAAAAGATAGAAATATAATTTTTAAAAGCATATGTTAAGCATATATTTTTTCATTTGACTCTCACAATAATAATATATAAATAAAGGTAGTTTATTTGAGTTTTGTACATTAAAGTAATTATAAAAATATTGGTTTTCATATGTATTTGAAATTATGTCAAATGTTAAATTATTTTAAAATCGTAGCAAAATATTGTTGTTATTTTAAAGAGTTTGACTTTTTAAGAGAATCTGAGCCAATGTGTATGAAAATTTTTTTATATTTTTATTTTAAATTTATGTAATATACCAAATATTTTTTTATTTGTTATAGATATATTGTTGCGACACAAGATCGTGAGCTTCAGGATGAAATGAGGACAATTCCGGGAGTTCCTGTAATATATTTACATGGAAAAGCACCTACACTAGACTCTCCCTCGGAGGCAAGCCGCATGCATGCTGAAGTTAAGCAAAAAGATCTAGGTATGACTACATGGGAGAAAGAAAATATAAAAATATTGCGAAAACAAGCAGGAATAGAAGAGAAAGGAAGTAAATTGAGAAAGAAAAAGAAAAAAGGCGGACCAAATCCGCTTAGTTGTTTGAAGAAAAAAAACCGGAAATGACAATATTGAAAAAAAATAGTATAAAGTCTGGTAAAATCAGGAAAAGGAAAATTAAAATAGCGTCACACATTAAAGAGGCTCTACTAACAGAATTGAAGAGTAACCGTACGACATAAAATTATATAAATAGATTGTGTCAATTTTAAATATATTTTGTGAATATAATATAAAAATATGTAAAAAATTGTTAAAAATTAAGAAAACAAGTCATTTTTATATAGATTAAATCAATATTTTTTGTGAATTAGAAAAGAATAAAATATTTATTTAAATACTTTACTATGTGTGCGTATAAAGTTTTTTAATAAGATTTTTAAATAAACACTGATTTCCATATTAAACACGAAACATAAAATTTCATGGAATCTTTTACAATTTTATAGTATATCTTATTATTAATATATCTTTTTATTTATTAGTATTTATTAGTATATCTTTTATCATGAATAATTCTTATTTAATAGAAATAATTTACAATGTTTGATTTTATTAAAGATATAAGATAATACCGCGCATATTTTATATTCTAAAATAATTAAAATAGATATAGTTCAAATGTGAAAATAGTGATTTAAAAAAATAAGTGTGCTGCCTCTTTCTCGCTCGCGTGCGATCGTCCGCGTTGCGTCTCGTCTTTCGTCTGCGTCGCGTCTTTCTAGTCTTAATCTGCGTTTTGCAGCTGTCCGCGATTTCCTACGTTTCGCGAGCGTTCTGCGTGACCTCGCAGCGTGCGTTTTCAAGCGCTCCGCCTTTTTCTCGCGAGCGAACATCTCGGCGTTCTTTCTGTTCTTTTTAGCGTCTCTAATCTCGAACGTTCCTTCGCGTCCGCGATGCTCTTGCTGGCATTGCATGTTTCGCAAGATAACATTTTTGTCACGCGCATTCCTCGTGTTTGCGGTGCCCTTGTTGGTATTGTACATTTCCGATTTCCTTTGTCTTGTGATATTAGCTGTAAGCCATGTAAATATTGCGTTCGCGTTTTTGGTTGTCAAACGGTTGAATGTTCTAGATATTATTTTCTGTTGTCTGTTCAAAATAAACGAGTCAGAATTTCGCGAGTCATTGCTGGCGACGGTCGAATATCAAATCACGGTGATCAAAAATTCAGTTTGCTTTGCATCCTTCCTGCTTTTCCAACTTTTCAAAGATCAGCCGTCTTGCCTTCCTGGCAGAGATAGCTTCAGCTTAAACTATAGATAGGCAACGCATTGACCAGTACACTTTCTTCTGTTAGTTTCAATTTATCACTTGTATATTCCAAACGACCTCGTAAATCCCATTTTTTTAAACTTGCTTTCTTTATTATCTATATTATTTGAAATATCTTTGGTTAACTTGTTCACTGTACTATTAGTTATCAATGCATTATTATTTGGTTTATTTACTAATGTTTTAGCAACAAATTTGACAAGAGGTTTCTTTATTTCTCTATGCATTAAATTAGTAGCTGTTCGTTTTACAGCTTTCATATTGTTTAATGATATGACTTCAGGTAACGATTTTGCTCGAGTTAAGGTTGGTTTAGCTTTAGGTGATTTATTTTCATTTATAGTTGTAGAATTCGCTGATGTTGATGTATTATTGTTACTTATTTTATAGTTGTTCTCAATTGTATTAATTATATTAATTATATCTGCTATATTAGTTGTTTTTTTAACATTATTTTTGGTTTTCGTTGTTGTAGCCAGATTTACAACTAATAATAAAGTAGTCTCCATGACAACAAAAATAGTCCGCATGAATTTCGGAAAAAGTCTTTCAAAAGACGGTACAAATGTGTGATCGCCAAAATTGCGATCAGTCTTTTGAAAGACCACATCGCGTGAAAATATTGCAAAAAGTTTATCAGCAAATTCCTCAATTGCGACACAAGATCGTGAGCTTCAGGATGAAATAAGGACAGTTCCGGGAGTTCCTGTACTATATTTACATGGTAAAGCACCTACATTAGACTCTCCTTCGGATGCATGCATAAAGCAAAAAGATCTAGGTATGACATGGTAGGTACTATATGGGAGAAAAAAAATTGTAAAAGTATCGCGAAAACAAGCAGGAGTAGAAGAGAAAGGAAGTAAATTGAGAAAGAAAAAGAAAAAGACGGACCAAATCCGCTTAGTTGTTTGAAGAAAAAAAAGACCGGAAATGACAATATTGAAAAAAAATAGTATAAAGTCTGGTAAAATCAGGAAAAGGAAAATTAAAATAGCGTCACGCATTAAAGAGGCTTTATTAACAGAATTGAAGAGTAACCGTACGACATAAAATTATATAAGTAGATTGTGTCAATTTTAAATATATTTTGTGAATATAATATAAAAATATGTAGAAAATTGTTATAAATTAAGAAAACAAGTCATTTTTATATAGATTAAATCAATATCTTTTGTGAATTAAAAAAGAAAATATTTATTTAAATACTTTACTATGTGTGTGTATAAAGTTTTTTAATAAGATTTTTAAATAAAAATTGTGATTTCCATATTAAACACGAAACATATAAAATTTCATGAAATCTTTTACAATTTTGTAGCCATTATTAGTATATCTTTTATCATGAATGAATAAAATAATTATTATCTAATAGAAATAATTTACAATGTTTGATTTTATTAAACATATAAGAGATAGCACCCCGCATATTTTATATTCTAAAATAATTAAAATAGATTAAATGTGATAGTTCAAATGTGAAAATAGTGATTTAAAAAAAAATAAAAAGTTTTGACTTTAGAAAAAGATGTATATCCTTTAGAGAATATAATATTAAACTAATAACAATGTTTAATGCTAAATATGTCATTTTCTTAAAAAATATACATGTATATATCTTAACATATTTAGATGAACACATGAACCTGGAATTAGGAACTTCCATATATAGAAAGTATAAAAATGTTGGAAAATAATCTTTTCGATGTAAGCGGCACTGTATTATTTACAGTGTTTTGTTCATGTATAAGAACTTTCAGATAGTTAATACTATGTTTTCATGTGTATACATTTATAATCATAATTAAATAATGGTAGATCTATATTTTCGGGGAACTGATATTTGGCATAATTGTTAGGAAAAATTCAATTTTTAAGTATAATTAATATTTACGCAGCTATTATAAAAAGATAATATAAAAGTTTATATTAAAATTCATGTTAGAAAAAGATAAATGTATATTTTTTTTAATATGAAGTTCATATTTGTTTATATATGCATATGTATGCATAAGTATATGTATATACATATGCATTTTCAAGAATATGTAAACACACACACACACACACACACACACATACTTTCACACAATCTTTTTAAAATTCAAAAAAACAATAATTACAAAGTCCTTTTGATGCACCAAAAGTCTAAAGTTTTTGAGTTTATGTTACAAATAGATCTGCCATTATAAAATTAAATAATATAATCTTTTTTATAGATATAAATATTTGGATTCAACGTTATAAGAGCAAAACGCTCATATCTAACTCTATCTTGATCAGTTGAATAATCATATAATGTATCAATTATTCTATTATAAGACTTTTCACGGTTCATATAAATTGCTCAGTCACAAAAATAAAATCTTCCTCGGCCAAAAAAATTGTATGTCTAAACAATTATATTAAGTCAAAAGTTTTCAAAATTAGATACTTTAATAAAAAATTTTTACAACTGCATCTTTTCGTACAAGTATGATTAAATATAACGTGTCATGAAATTTATACGTGCACTGTCTATGTTTAGACATAATATGAGGGAAATTACAAAATTTGAAGAAATATTGTAATGTTTACTGTCAACTTACAAGTAAGAGAATTCCTTAATCATCATACATACAGAATGTAATTGTTCATGCCAAACCTAGCAGTATAGGAATCTATCTTTTTCAGCATTTAGTACTGAATATTTTTTTAGGTAGGATATTTATCTATGGTCAAATTAACAACATTACACTGAATTTAAAACGTTCTTATCTTTCATTAATTAAATCAGGTATAGCTTATGTGAAAACTATTAAAAAAATTTCATTGAAACATTCAAACGCATAAAAAAATAATAAATTTATGTCATATTAAACACATACGCATCTTCTAAATAAAATTAAATCAAATCTGAATGTTCATTAAACTGAGTGTTAACGATTTTACACAAATCTGTATCTGTTTATATTCTATATGAAAATTACTGCCAGTCTTAAACATGACTTCTGTTAATATTGCTTTTAGATAAAAGTAGTCTTTAAACAGAACGTAAAAAATCTTATATCATATATTTGTGTAATCTCATAAATGTGGCGGTCAAGGATGCTGACTTAACAGTGCACGCGCAGCCATGGCGAGCATTTTCATGCGGCGCGTTGATCGATGATTCGGATTACTCGCTAAGAATGTAGCTAATTGATTTTGCAGGGTCATTAGCACCGTGCCCATGTGTTCTCGTGTTACAGGATCATTTGGGTCTAAATTTAATATTGCTTCTTCTAGCCACCTAAAAGAAATTTTTATCAAAATTATCTTGAAATGATGACAAATGAAACATGTCTATTTTGATATTACACAATTTGTATACGAATTAAAAAATAATTTATAATACCTGTGTTTCAATTCGGTACGGTGTCCCAAATCAGCAGATAATTGTTGCACAAGAGAAAGAATTACAGGTTGTTGTAAGATACATCTAGAACTTTGTCCTTGAGCTGTACACGAAAATACTCTCGAAGGTTCAGTTTTCTCACACACTAGTACTACCAATCCTAAATCACTAGCACTCAGGGCCTGTTGAAAAGCGGCATTTAGTTGACCTCTTTGTAGAAGAGACATGACACGTGCTTGAGCATCGGCTACAGCGGCTACAGGTATAGCAGGTGTGGTAGCTCTCGATCTATAGATTTCGACAATTTTAATATTTATCAACATGTTATTTATAATTTAAATTTAAGATTTACAATTTGTTCCTTACCGCGCACTAGACATTTCGGTAAGTTGTTGATTTAAATTCTCTCGTATGGAATCACGAACTGCTCGAATAATGTTGTCTTGTATCGTCGTCAAAACTCTATTCAATTCAGTCTGTATTTCTTCGCGTATCAAAGTTGATAATGTTTCGCTCAATTGCTCATTATAACGTTGACACTGCTTATTGATAACTGTATCAGTATGCTGTAAATCTATAAAAAAGATATATTACATACGCTGAAAAATATTTGTCACAATGGAATTGTTAACAATGGAATCGAAATAGGCTACTTACAATCACGAGTGCCCTTAGCAAACACATCTTGGATTTGTTTAAACATAATTTGGCAAACCTTTTCCATATTAGGTAGAAGAACAGTCGTGAATGTTTCTTTGAAAGCAACGTCGAGAGCTGGTTTAGCTGCATTTGCAGCTGTCAAAGATAGAGTATCCTTTACATGTGAGCTGTTTATCAATTCACTTACATTCTTTTGAAAGAGTTCATCCATTTGATTTGCATCTAATCTCATTTGATGTTTCAATGGTTTTATTGTTTCTTCAATTGTACGTGGCAAAGTAGTTTCAATCTTTTCTTTGATCGTTGTCTCGAATGTATTTAGAAATTCATGTTGACGAGTCACTTGATCGTATAGATTCATACAGATTTGTTCAAAGTTCGCGTTTTGCTGTTCAGACATTTTTGCTAATGTGGACTCTACTCGTGTGGACACTGGCGATTCTTGCCGTAACCTAGTAACCTCCGCGCGTAATTCTTTTAATTCTTGACATTGATCTTGAATTATCTCTAAAATAGATTTCAATTTGTTGTTCAATTCGAGATTATTAAGATTGTCATTGTTTGTTCGCCATGATGTTCCGGGGTCATCGGACGACGTTTTTGTTTCATCTTTTGTCTTTTGCCTTTGTACGTTATTATCATCGTCTTCGGGAAATTCTTCCTGCATCGCGTGTACGCTTACATCTTTAAGCAGGACCATTGGGATATTAGACCAATCTTCGTCAGCGTTCGTTTTTGCTTCCGGTTTGCCATCGATATCGGTTTCTTCATCTGGTTTAGTAAGAGACAAGATTTCTCTTACTTCTCTAGATGGACTACTACCGCAACTGGCTGGAGCTTGTTCTTCTATCTCAGTTTTTGCGAGCGGTGGATCAGACGCGTTTAAAGCTTGTACCGCTTGTGCAAGGGAAGGACTGTTGGATAAGACTTTTCTCAAATCCGGGCTTTCTGGATTAGATTCGTTGTTCTCTTTCTTTGCAGGCGAACTGAACGCGTCAGGTGTCATTAAGTTTAAGCTAGTGTTGTGATTAATTGTCGCTTCGATTGTAGCAGACAAAGATCGTTTTCCCTCACAATTTTCTCCGGACACGCCGTTATGAGTAACGGTTCCCATATCTGGCAGATCTTCGGAATAATCTAACGAATCGTGAGCAAGTGTGTCTATAAGATAGTTGCCACTTGCTTGCGAGGCAGGTTTAAAGGCAATGTGACACTCTTGTAATGACTTTGGTTGGACTAGATACATGTAGATGACAAGTTGTTCATCGTTTTCTTCGATCTCTTCGCACAGATCTTCCAGTGATTCGCCAGTTGACCGTATTTTACGTTGATCAGCATCGACAATTCCAAAGCTTAGAATGGGATATGGCAGGAGAAACTCTGACACCGTGCTTATACATGCTAATGCCTCACCCTTGTCTTTTGAAAGACTTAGTATATATAAAATTTTATTATATATATCAGATAGAAATAGATATCCAGCACTAAGATCTAAGCCTGCTTTTAGTACTGGCACTTTGCCCGTAGAAGGATTTGGAGCAAACGTAATTGTTTGTAAACAGGTCCACAATTCGCATGACCATACTTTCAGTTCTGAATTATTGTCACATCCCGTCACAGCAAATCTCCAAAACTGAACACTGAAAAAATAGACATGTCCTTTAATTATTGAGTTTCCTCAATAGAAATATATTTACATTGAGATGATATTTTTAAAATACTCACTCAGGTTGATAGTTTTGTGATCATCAAGAAAAATAGGCAAGAAATGGGTCGTCCTCCGTGAGGCCTCCATTGATGTAAACAACGTGGTTGCGGCTGACCATTATGAGGATTAGCATGAAGGAAGACTTGAAAGAATTTTACTTCTCCATCTGTACTAGCAGTTGCTAATGCAGTACCGTCTGGACTAAGCGTAGCTTCAACAATCATTCCCGTGTGCTGATCGATCTCCATCATACCTCCACTTTCCTTAATACTCGGATTTGTTGCCTAATTTAGGAAAAAAAAAAAAATGAAAATTATTTGTCATTTATATCCTATACATGAACAAAATTATACAAATGCGTATTTACATACTTCTATCGATCTAAATCTTGATGTTACTGTTGCAACCGACCACAATTCAACTTTGGAACCACGAGTTAAGACTAATAATTTTGATACTTCATCTCCGTCAGAAGCATCGTCCTCTGGGATGTATGGACACCAGATCACTCGGTGACTAGTTGGAGAAACATCTTCAGCGTCTACTTGTAATACTAAACTACATAATAATTCAGATGGCGTAGGTTCAATTGTATGTATAAAAAGTGATCCTGTATAATCGATACACGCAAGAATTGCATTTGAAACATGGGCGAATGCAAGATCTTGAATAGCACCACGCATTCCTCGCAGTAGAGCTCTATGTTCTAATTCCTTGTATACAACACGAACTACCCCACCACCGGTACCAACTAGAAGATGGAAAATTCATCTAAATACAAGTCATTCTAAATTACTTTTATAGATGTAAATATTTGATTAAAAAAAGAGCAATTTTTTTTATTAAAAAAAACACATTGTATATAAAGCATAATATTTCAATTACTTGGCAAAAGAAAAATTGCAAACAGCAAACCTAAATCTTATTAAGTATTACCTTTTAAACCATAGGCTAAATATTTTCCAGATACATGAACAGCCAACAATTGGCCAGTGTAAAGATGATGATCCCATGTAAAATCAACAATATTTTTTAATTTTACTTTAGAACTGCCATGGTCATGATCACCGGGGGAAGGAATAATAGTTACATTTGTGCTACATAATTCAACTGAATGTTGATCCTCCCGTCCACTGAATTGCCTATAGAAATAGAACGTTGTGTGTAAAGACCATTATACAAATTAAAGCTGCCATATTTGTCTACAATTTTTTTTTATATAAAGAAAAACGAGATCAAACAGGCAAAAAAATATAACAATAAAAAAATATGTTCATATATTCACAAGAAAATTTGAGCTATAGAACTATGATATTTGACTGTGATTAATGTTCAATGTTTTATACAAAATTGATATAAAAGTTAATTTAGAAGTTTTAGTACAGAAGTTAATACAAAAAGCATTTATCAAATAGATGCTCGAGATCTACAAATTGATTTTTTACAAATGTACAAATAATTTGTACATTCCAATAAGGTAAAATATCTATCTTTCAATTACATAAGCAGGTACAGGAATAAAGAAACAGTAATAATAAACTATATTAACCGATTATGTATTTTATAAATATTAAGAAACTTTTGAATCTTTCTTTTTTTAAATCTTTTTTCTTTAACATTTCCCTATTTCTTCGAGCCCAATGCAAGGTGATGATTGTAATATTTTCTCTCTTGTCACTCACACACAGCGGCTTGACAAGACGAAGGTCCTATCGTACCAGCTCTAAAAGATCTTACAAAGCTTCGCGGTTCGCTCGATCGCGGAACTTACACAGACTGCTCAAAATGGAGATGCCTCAAGTTGTCCTCCCCGGTCTTGCTCATGTCGCCGGCCGTGTTCCTGTAAGATAAAAAGTTTAAGGGGTCTCACGAGTCTTGCGCGCGACCGGATCGCCCGCGAACGATTCCTAACCCTAGCCGGCGGTGCCGCAGGCCTGTTTCCGCGAGTCCGGCATTCCGCGAGATCGCTCTTCCTCACCTCTCGGGCATAAATGCCGCCGTTCCTCGTCGTACCGCTCTCAAAACGAATAAATTAGCCGAATAGCCGCGCGATCATCACCGGCGTCGTACCACCGCCTGTCGCAATGATCCCGGACACGCACACGCGAGGACACAATTCGGTAAACTTCAACGAAAGTGAAATGTCAGGCGGCCATCACCCACTTGTCAGTATATGCGAGCGGAATCAATGTTGCCAATCTCCGACGAAGAATTTCCTGCTGGTGAAATTTGCATGTCCATACCGGTGAAAACGGTTTCTCATGAAACCATCGAGATGCTAATGGCTTCTGCCTATAGGATGTGGCGAACGAGGCAAAAAATGAGACCAATTGATATATCGCTCTTATGGAAGAGTGATAAGCTGATTGGTCACATTATATCGTAAGAAATTGACCAATCATAGTCGAACGTAAGGCGAAATTAATCATGATTGATTAATTTCTTACAGCTTAAACTATCTATTGTAGCTCGAGTCTAATGATGCCAGTTTCAAAGGCTAATTGATATTTTGAATGTGAACAAACGGGTCGCTCTAATATTTAATTTCATACGACAGATTTTTTTGAACGTCCGGACGCGGTAAAGTGATTATCAAAGATATTTTTTTCTGACTGAAATTACGATTAAGGATTTTCAATAATGTTTTTCCTCGCGCCTTAAAGAATTTTTCGTTTTCGTTTCAGATAATTTTCATAGAAAGGCTGAGAAGAAAATTTGCGCGCTGCGTGGAGTCGATTGGTTCGTGAGTGTAATTTCAAATGTACGAGTTGCATTAAAAATATATTTATTTGATGAATTTATACATGTATCAAGATTTAAGTATGTTTTAATAAAAGTTTTTATCTGATTAAATTTAGTAACAAAAATATTTTAAAGACGTTTTTAAGATATTTTTAAGATATCTTAGAACATCGTATGTTCGCTTTGGGAAATTTCCGTTAAATAAACAGAAAACATGAAATGACGATTCCAAGTATGGGTCGAATATTAATTCCAAGCCAAATTTACAAAAAATAAATATATTAAAATACATATATTGATCAAATTACAATCATTTTATAATTAGCTTTTTTTATAAACATCAAATATGATGAAATAGTATAAATATGAAATAGCATGGCATAAAATTAGTTTCTTAAACATTGCTAATCTTTAATAAAAAAAAAAAGGGAAGAATGTATGTTAAAGAGAGAATTTAAATTAATCAAAAGTTTAAAAACTTTGGCAATTTGAGCTGACATGCTCACGAAATCATAAATTTATTTGAGCCGTACGAATATTTTATTTTGTCTGACGATACGTCTCTTTGAAAGAAATTAATCGCTTGCTTAAAAGTTTTTAAAAGATCGGAAGTTTATTGATATAGGAAAGAAGACATTCGCGATGAATTTACACTTTATTTCTTACGTTATGTTACACTATAGACAGGCTTTTTCGTTCGCGTATGTGTCTATCCTTTGGAAAATGGCAGTAGTGCTCAAACGTACGTAGACCCAAAAAAGATGGCAGTAAATTCAGCTAATCTCGCTTCATCAGTAGCGCTTAATGACTATAATGCGTACGGTTTGTATGCCAGACATTGTTTCGGTTCATATTTTGGATACTCATCGAAAATGAAGGAGAAAAGTGAATCGGATTGTAAATATGATGCATACAGTACCTCTAATGATATTCAATTTTCATGTAATTATTAGCAATGTAAAATTGTAAAGATTTAGCCCGTGAAACTAAATTCTAAATTCAGACATTAAAAATGAATTTAAAACTGTTTGCGCTCATTCCCTTGCTCTTGCTTACATCAATTCTAATACCATACATATTAAATATTTGTTTACCACTTTGTTTCGTAGAATCAGTCCATTTGTTTTCATTCTGCATCAGGACGATACGTAGGGATTAGTGGAGTGATTTTAATTAAAATATAATTCTGAATTTCAGTTGAATTTTTACTTCCGATTCACTGCTCGTATTTTCTTTACGACGAAGCTACAACGTAGCTACAATGTTCTGGAGATTCTAAACATCGATGAGACCTTCCTTGGAATATTACTGGCACTGGTATGATACCTGCCTTCTGACTCTTTCGTCTCAGGCATTAGCAAAAATGTGCGCAATCGAATTTCCAATCCAGGCCTTCATCGTGAATGTCTTACATTTTCTCGTACTGCCGCACAACGAATAATTTTTGGGTCTTTTCGCATCATATATAATGTTACACAATGACAAAGCACACTGAGACACTGCGCCAATCCAATAGAAAAACAATATCGTTATTGTGCCGTTAGTATTCACAGATCGAAGGGACGTAGAACCGCGCAAGGATAGATCCCCGTTTGCCTTGCGGTGATTTTTTTTTCATTCTCGTCGTTTTTATTTTCCTAGAACTCGCTTGCTAGCAGGTAACGACTCGAAAATTAAAATTTTTTTTCTTTCTTCTTCATTGATTATAACTTTTATTTGTAAGCGTAGTATTTCGACTTATCTAACGACTAATCGCGACCGCGTTACTCGTCCGCGTAAATCATATTGCGCAATTGCGGTAAAAAAACAATGACGATCATGAGCGACCGGTGCGTGGAGAGAAGCTAAAACCATCTATCTAGTGGAGATGTAATGTTGTACTTTGAATTATCATAAATGTAAACTATGCTACTTTCACCTATAATACTCGCTGCTCTAGAATCAACTGTTAGAATTAACTGTTGACGCATTATTCTTTAATTTATTCCGCGTTATACGTAGAGGCAAGTAAAATCTATATAGCCGCGAGAAATGCCGCAAAAATTTAAATATTACAAAAGATTAAAATCTCGGTCTGCACGAGGATATGAAAATTTAAAATCTTTATCGTTTATATCGAGATGGTCCCTGCGGGATTTTAAATTGTATCGTATATATTATTCCCTCGTCTGCGTATATATGTATATAATTACAAAAACATAAAGTTCCATTTCACTACAATTAGATTTAAAATTGATATATCTCAGATTTCGTATCGTACTAACAAAATGTATCTAACAAGTGCACGGAAATATATGATTTAAGAATCTATATGATTTAATAGACATGTAATGGCTATATTAGGGGGGCTATTTTCTTTCTTAACATTTACGGAAATCTTAAGAAATGATATTGAATCGATCGTCATTTGATGTACAAAGTTTAAATTGGAACAATAGTAATAGCAGAGACGACAAGCGTTTTGTAGCACCCATTATACTTAGAGCATAGAGTCGCCAATAATATGCATAGAATATGAGTGTTTATACATATAATAACGTATGTTAAAGGATATACAAGAAAAATTTAGTTACAATTCTCTGCAAGCAGAGAGGCGCGCAGAAACGTGTGAATGTGAAATATAAATGTGGAAAGTATAACGATTATATACAATTATTAAAATCGATGAACGTCTAAAATAATAAAGACGTAAGTTGTATTTACTATTGATTACAATCTGCGTGGATTAAATGATATTGACTTCATAATTTCGCGATTATAAGTATTTAACAACCCAACGTTACAATGTGCTACGCAATCGCACTTGATATGCTTATGATATATTGCTCTGACTTATAAAATACGAATGCGAAATAAATAAATAAATAAATACATCATACAAATAAATAAATAAGTCATGATTTATGTCTAAGCGTTTTACGGCTAAGCTCTGGTACGAAAGATCTAGAGTTAATTGAGGAAAGTATGTGATTCGTGTTTGACGGACGGACTCGTGCAAAGGAGAACCAGAATTAGGAATATATCACGTATCACAAGCGAAAACGTCGACCAGTCCAGTTCATCTGCTTGCCCATTCTTTCTACGCTAAAGACGTTAATTGTTCGGCGAATAAATCTTGATAGACTCGTATCCACATCCGCGTTATACGTTGAAGTGGTCGTTACAACTTCACTCTCTCGTTTGCACGACGCCGCACAACTCGCCGTGTTAATATATCGTCTATTTGTTGCGTAAAAATACAGTGCCAGTCGATTTGCATATATATAAGAAGCGGTAGACTCAAAACTCGGAACGTGAAAGCACTCGCTACGTGATTGATATCCGCGCAAAGTAACATTTCCCTTAACTGGAAAGATGATGTCTCTACATCATATGAGCATATTGATTCTAAAGATACTTCAATTGAAGCGAATTCATAAATTAAATCTATATCAAGCTCAAAGGCGACACATAAGTCATCAGGCGACAGAGTTATCACAACATATTGCACATCCGTATCCTGTACCAGTTAAGAGCAAACAAAAGATCGAAAGTTTCTAGCGTCGGCTAGAAAAGGCTAAGATGATCGAGCCTACCGCTTGACGTAATTTAAGATTAGGACATAAAATTCCGTTTATTTTGAAAAATACTGTACACAAGAATACCTAAGGCGCGTTAACGCTCGCGTTCCTCGCCTGTATTGAAGCTGCGACTACATATGATAGAATCGATATATTTCCGCCGTAATAAAGAGGAATAAATCGGACGATGACAAGACTGGGTAGAAACAGGTTGGAATTGATCTTTTCACTCGATAGTATCCCTTCTCCTTCGGTAAAAAGCGTAAAATTACTTGTGTGTTCACCTCTTTAGAAATCGGAAGAAACCCTTGCTCTTATCTGGCGGTGGTGCCATCAGCATCGGTACTTGATTTTTGTGTGTAATGTGAATCTGTGGCAAAAAAATTTTTTATCTTTGTATATAATTTAATTCGTTAAATATGAAGACATAAAAAAATTAATCAGTTATGTTCCATGATGTTATGATGCATAACAAACTTTAGACTAAGTATTTATTCTAAATAATTGTATAATATCTGTAATTAATTAAATGTATAATATTTGTCAATTAATTTTCAAGCAGCGCAAAAAATCTTAATTATTTAATACAATATTATTTGTTGAAGACAAAATTTAGAAAATTGAAGAAAATATTATTTTTATTCTCTCGCTAAAAAAACGTTCGATAAAATTTTCGCAAAGAAAGAGCTCCCCGCTGATCTCAAAATATTTGCCACGAATATTTTAAATTTGTTGTTTTGCTTCAGCTCACCGTGCAAGGACCCTGCATCCATGGTTCGCCATCGATTTGCATGGGGAATCGTTTACTCGTGATGATGGTGACGCTGCTACATTGGGCCAATCTTCTGCCAGAATGTCGGAGTCCGGTCTTTACTTGACCCATATGCAAGCAGTTCTCCAAACCGATTACTTCTATGAGATTGTCTCCGATGTCTGCAGACAATAGATAAGTATTCGATATTACATTAAATATTGTACAATCCTCCTGCGCGCGGATATTATTTCGTTCGCGAAAAACCGATTATCTCGCTCGTGTTGAGCTCACCTTGAATAGCGGCCGTGAGATCTACGGAATTGAAACTACTGGTACTGAGTTCTTTGTCGGGTCGCTTTTTTCGTTTACCAAGGCGATGCCGCGTGTGATGTTCGCCCCAGAGATTCGAACCACCGTGAGTGAAAGGAATGTTTAGTAATGCGACTCCTTGCAGGGATGGACCGTGCGCCAAATCCAGAGGCGTACCGTCGCACTGCAATCGATGAAATGCATGTAACATCACGAATTCCATTGATTCCGTTGAACTGATTGATTACGTATTTGGCTGTACGTATTCGGGATGACGTTAGAACGGAACCGGTTGATTAATTCTTGTTCTGCCATTTGGTATTTGAATCTCGGCTTTATTCGACACTCGATATACTAATCCGTTAATCAAACATTACAAAATATTACATATGCATGATATATGCGTATTAATTAAGCTATGCTTACAATTATTTCGAGATCCTCGTGGAGATTTTTACAACTGGCAGCGAACTGCTCCGTGGTCGCGTATTCGAAGTACCACAACTTGTTTTTCATTCTGCTGTTAAACTTCTCGGGATTTTTCTCTCTCTCCATGTGAAACTTGACGCAAATAGCGGCGTCAACGCCCACCGAGAAATAATTATTAATGATATTATACGGTATAGTATCTTGATTCGATTTCTTCTCGTCCTTTTGATCTAAAACTTCTATTTGCCAGCGATCCATCATCACCTGCGTCGCCTTTTCGATTTTCTACAAATTGTTTAAACCTCATGTAACGAAGCTACACCCACACAGTGTAATTAGACGTTAGAGAGAATAGTAAAACATTTCACATTTTACAGACGTATAAAAATACGAGAATGATAAAGATTTTTTATGAGAATCTGCATATATTAGCGTATTACTGGTTGCTCTACCTTAAGCACTTTGTGTACCGCTTCTCCTTCGTAACCACCACCCCAGCGTAAGCACCTGGCAAGATCATTGCCTGTACCGAGAGGTATAACGCCAACGGCAGGTTGTGTTTCAAATTGCACACGATCTGAATGAAATAGTCGTGAAAGCAGTGATTACAACATGCGGTTTAACATTAAATTATTAGTAACCTATTAAAGCAACATCGAAAAGCAATATCGAAATGATGAACTTATTATCGTGTAATCGGTTAATGGAGGTCTATTAAAATCCAGGCCATTCGCTGGTTTATGCTATGTCGATGAACCTATTATCGGATTTACGTGCACGATTAACAATTAGCACATAATATTGCAAAATTTATTCAAAGCACCCGCTTTTATGTGCTGCCGTTACATAATTGTTGTTCATTTCACTCGCGCGTTCTCGACGTGAATTTAATTAAATATACATGTCGCAATTAAATCGCGATGCATACCCATCGTTTCCAAAACCCAGCCGACCGTCCCGTCACCGCCGCAGCAGATCACTTTAAAATTCTCCACATCCTTAAACATTTGCAGGCCTTGCATGGGCCCGCCGATCGCAAGATTATGGACCTGCCGAGGATTCAGAATGTATTGAAATTTCCGTAACATTCGCTCTCCTTGTCGGCCGCCCGATTTTGGATTTATAAAAACTAAAAGCGGTGTCGTGCCCTCCGGTGGTGTGATTTGAAAGGACATGGCTGGCTGCTGATTCGACGAGCTACCGCAGCTCAGGAAAACACCCTATTAAATTCATTGCGTTTATGTCAAAAAAATTATATATGGTATTCTATGCATTGTTTCGTTTGAAAGTGTAGTTTCCTTAATTTTTATTTTTTTAATATTTTATGATTTTTAACTCACTTTTTTAAATCAATATGTGCTTTGTAAAATTTAATTTTAACTATGTTCTAAGTTTTATTTGTGTTTGATTTCTGAATATTATTTTACAATCCAAGAAAGCTCAAATTATAATTTTTCTGAATGATTAAACGTACGAGCGATTTTATAGTTTATACTTGTTTCTTCGCGAGAGACGGTGGTTCAGTGATAAGAACAATTAATGCGAAGTATTATATCGCACTTACAGAGCTGACCGATGAGCTATCCTGACAGTGCCTGCTGCCACGTTTGCTGTCCCTTGACAATGATCTTTGTCTATCCAGTACAACGGGACAAATTGCCGTAGGTGGAAGGATGTGTACCGCGTGTTCGCCGAGCGTACATTCCGCTCGTACTTGCGACGCACATCTATTGTGCAACTACAATATTTCCATGTAGACGATTAAGGATACTTACTCTCGCTACATTATCGTTTCAATGAATGAAAGTTATGCATTTCTAATGCGCGTATTTGAAATTTTAGTTAATCATAAATATATAAATTATGTTAATCATAAAATATATATATATATCATAATTATCAAAAAATTTACTTTCATCTGAATTATTCAGTCAATCGCATTAAAGGATTTTATATGATAGGATTTTATATTTTATTGAATAATTTATAATAGAATGCTATTTTTAGAATATTTATCTAGTCAAAAAATGAGTTAATTTAGCTTTCAAATTATATATTTTAATATTTAATATTTATATATTTTAATATTTGTATTTTTTCTATTTTTTATATTATCACGGGAATATATTTTAGACGCTTTGGATAATGAATACAATCAATTAATTATAAAGCGACATGACATACTTTACATTCCTGTGTTAGTGCTAACTTGAACAAAAAATACTTACGGTTAATTGGCACCATCTGCAGTGTAAGCCGGTGATGCCATTATAACTCTTGATAGTCTTTCTGCATTTGGAACATTTTCCATGACAATTACCTTCGACCCAATGATGAGCCATTGTTTGGGACGTCTTCTTGCTCTTGACATAAGTAGCTATGCAGGAGGCTGGCGCTCTTTGTACGCATCTCTCGTGCACCGTGTATTTGCAAACTGGTTTGAGAAGGAGGTCTTTATTATTCAACGAATGATTCCATGCATTCGCTGATTTTGAATAAAACCGCGCCCGTTTCTTAAAGCAGTTGGTCACGTTCTTTACACGATTTCGTTTTTGCAATCGCTACGCTGATTTAAGTTTGCTCTGGCATCGCGAACTAGAGGTAATGTCAAGGATTTCTTACTTACAGACGCAACAAAGTCCTTTCTTGCCGAGGCCAACCAACATATTTAGACAGAGATTGCAGTACGCGGGTTTGCTGAAATGTTTCAGCCTCCACAAATGATTTCCATCTTCTTTCACGTGGGAATCCAGACCCAGAAGAACCAGCAGAGGTATCGTCGTGAGGCCACCTCTTTTCCACTCTTCCAGCGAAACCGTACCATCTGCATCGTAGTCAATCTCTATCATCATGTCTTGTAAAATCTAAAATAAAATTACACTTTCCACATATCCGTCTCATCCCAAATGCACAGCTAATTTCAAAAAATTCCTTAGATTTTTATTGATATCCACTCAAAACAGAAAAAAAACTATTAATTGAATCGTAACAAGAAGAAAATAGTTTAATCTTGCTCGTTAGAAGCGACCTTTGTTTCCACTTACCGGCTTCAGCTCTGAGACATCCCAACCGAGATACTCCGCGACATTCATCATTTGATTCACGATGCAGTCCATTTCCTAGATACACGTGATAATGATATTAGCAACAAAGATAAAGATAATAATCGTTGCATTGATCGCGCGTGTTGCATGACACGTCATCATTAAGCTATGTACAACTCGCGTAAATACTTTGAAATATCGGTCATCTTTTCAGGATGTTTCATAAATGTATATTAAATTATATTGTAAGTCTAATACATTCTTTATTAAAAATCCGTATCCCTTCCTCGGCGAATTATTTGCCCTAGCTGAACAAATGCGAACGAAAGCAGCGGCTCTGCCGCATTTTCATTTTCGTCTGCTTTCCCTATCGGTACCACTATCGGCAACGTGAATATTTATCGGTGCGGCGCACAATTTGTATACCGCGATATCAATGATTTATTCAACATGGAACTCATTATGCGGCGACCGCCGTTTTCCCGGCATCCTTCTTGGCCGTAATTTCAT